AGGAACACCCCCATTCCTTCGGGGGACCCAGGTGCCTGCGTTTGCCCCCATTCAAGGGATCCCAGCCCTTCCCCCCACCAGAGGAACCTAACCCCGTGGGAGAGACACCCCCCATTTCCGACCCCTTAACCCTCCTAGGAGCCCGTCTCGAGCTCCCAACCAAGAGACCCGCAACCTCTGCCCCATCAGAAGATCGCGGGTCCTCCGATTGGCACCGCTTGCGTGTCACCTGCGAGGGCTGCAGACTAGGGTAGCGATCGCGGCACCGCAACTGGCAGCTCTGCGTGTCCCCGAGCTGAGGGGCGAAGGGGTCACGGGCAGGAGGCGCGGGCGTGGCGTGCGGAGGATGCAGCAACAGTAGCAAGAGCGGCAGCTGCGCCACCGGAGCCATGGTCCCGCCAGGCGCTGGCGGCGCGGGATGCCGGCTCCCGCAGGCGCGGAGGTTGCGGCGGTGGCGGGGTCCCGGTCGCTGACGTCACCCGAGCGAGGCAGCCTGGGAAGGGGGGACGGAGGATGCGGAGAACGGGCGGGGCCGCTGTGCCGCCGCACCCCTGGGGTGCGTGCAGGTGGATCGCGGCCCTCGTCATCTGATCTATCTACACTCCACTGGCGTGGGGATCTCAGCCTGAGCTAGGGACCAAAAGGAAATAAAATAGGGTGATGCGAGAGAGGAGTCTATTCGCCAGAATATCTGGGAGGGCTTCCCGGAAGAGGCTACGTTTGAGCTGGCCAAGCCAGGCAATCGAGGCAGAAGGAAGCTGCGTGGAACCTGAAGCAGGGAGGGTCTAGTCAGGAGAGGAGGGAGGTGGGGCTAAAGCCCAGTCGGAGAGTGGAGATGGAGCGTCTGCCAGGCCTGGTTCAGCCAAGCCTTGGGAAGGTCCCTGGCATTATCTCCTTTGACACCCGTCAGGGGGGGCGGTAACTTGTGCGCAGTTCGCCTCCTTTGAAAAGCCCTTCCAGGTCCTCTAGGGCTCCCCCAGCCTCGCCTTCCTCTGGCCCAGCCATGATCCACGGATCCGGAGGATCTGGCCCCTGCTCCCCCAGACTGGGGGCCCTTCGGCCCCGGACTGAGTGGGATGAGGCACAGAGGTGCAGATAAGGATGCGAGGGGTGTTGCTAAAATTTCTAATTGTCTTCGGAAAACCTGGGACAAATGGACACTTCTGGTTTCCATAAAAGCTGCACTCCAAGGTGACAGATTGTAGCCCCGTGAGTCTAGCGTTAGGTCACCCTAGCTTCCTCTCCGTCAGGTATGGGAGTGGAGGCTCCCTTCTTAACCTGGGTCCCCTGTAAAGATGCCCCTTTCTCCCTAGAGTGTCTCTCACAGGTGCTTGCCAAGGCCTAGCGGAGCACCTTCTACGCTCCGCCCCCGTAGACGAGGTGGCAGCCGCGCGGGGTCTATGGGTCAGAGGGCGCCGCAGGTTCCGGACCAGGAGGAAGGAACAGAGGTGGGGGGTTGGAATGGCGCACGCTTTCTCCCCGGCCGGCCGCCCCGCTTTCATGTCCGCGGTTTCGGCCAGCCCCCACGTGGCTTAATCAGGCGCGGCTGTGCCTGGTGAACCCCGAACATCTGGATCCCGGCGCGCCCCTCCCCCTCCCCCTCCCCTCGGGGGCTATGCCGCGGCGACCCTGCGGCTAGAGCCTTCAGCCGCTGTTTGCTAAAGTGTGGGGAAACCCCGAGTCTAACCCACAGTGCGCCAGTCCGGCGCCTAGAGGAAACATCCCCAATTTCGCTGGTGGGAAACCTAGGCCCCAGGACCCCTCGGCAGAGTTAGGATTCAAGCCCACACATGTCAGTTCCAGAGCCACACGCGCTTAAGCCTTCCACAATTACCGCCCTGCATTTATCTCAAACAAAACACTTCCCGGGCATTTTCTTGTAACAACCCTAGGACGTGCTAGTAGTAATTCCCGATTTGCAGATGAGTAAACTGAGGCTCAGGGTGACAAGCAAGAGAAGAAAAAAGACAGGCAAGACTGCGGGTGCGCGCGCGTCGAGGATGAGAGGCGAAGCTTAGAGCGCAAAGGGAAGTACACACCGAGGCCTTCTGCAGAGGGGGAAACTGAGGCAGGAGGGGTTGGACCCCTGGCCTAGGTCTCCGGATAGTAGGAGTGAAAAGGTTTGATTGCCGCCCACCCAACCCCCTTTACGCAACTAAAGGCCGTTGGGAGCCGGAGCGGAAGAAGGACTCGGCCTCGGCCCCCCCAGGTGAGCCCCCTCGCCCCTCCTGCAGTTCCCGAGGGAGCGGGTCCAGGTGAGGGGCGGGAGGGCCGGCGGGCGGCCAGGGTCGGATTTCAGGAAATCCGCCGACATTCCTTCGGGGCTTAAGAGGGAAAGTTGACTCGGCGCCGCCCCGCGCCCCCC